GAAAATTATTCCTAATTAATTTAATGAAATGTGCCACGTCTGCAAACACAAATATATCCCGATCAACACTCGGGTTTTTGAAAGATATTTTCTTTCTTTCCGAGGGATCAATGCCAAATTCTTGCCACATCCTAAGGTTACTGGACCCTAAGTCGTGCACCATTGCAACGACAGGGTAACCTGCATGCTCAAGCTCTTCTGTTAAAGTTAACAAGAGCTTTTGTATATATGAGACATCAAAGTCATAAAAAAATGGCTGCTTCCAATTGCGTACCAGTCCGCTTAGCATGACAACCTGGACTTTCTCATGAGGTTTATATAGGATATCCTTACCTTTGTCATAACTCCATTCACTCGCAATGGTCATTTCATCAAATGATATCACATCTAACCTTTCAAGTGGACTAAAAGTGTCAGACTGTCTTCATGAGTGACAGCACAGAGTGTAAGATGCCAGGTTCGCATGACAAATTCTTGGCTCATTCATTGAGAACATAAGAACATAAGAACATAAGAATGGAGGAAACTGCAGCGGGCATATTGGCCCATACTGGGCAGTCCCATTTACATCCTTCCCCTATTGCTCATATATCCATCCAACCTATGTTTGAAGCTATCCATCGTATTCGAGTCAATAATGATGTTTGGTAATTGTTCCATTCATCCACTACTCTATTTCCAAACCAATGTTTACCTCTTTCGCGCCTAAATCTAAATTTGTCTAATTTAAACCATTGTTGCGAGTTCGCTCCTCGTTGGGTAGTTTGAGTATCTTTGTTATGTCCCTTTTGTTTAGCCCTGACTTCCATTTGTACACCTCTATCATTTCGCCCCTCACTCTACAGTACGTCTCTCAAGGGAGTGCAAATTTAGATGCTTTAACCTGTCTCTGTACTCAAGGTTCTTAATGCCCGGGATTAGTCTTGTCATTCTCCTTTGAATTCTTTCTAGGGATTCTATATCCATTCTGTAATACGGTGACCAGAATTGAACTGCGTAACCCAAGTGAGGTCTCACAAGCGCAAGATATAGTTTCAGGATGACCTCTTTAGTTTTGTAACTAACAATCCTTTGCATGAACCCAAGTACTTTATTAACATCGTTGTTCATCTGATATCTGGTTCTCTGTTTACATCTCCTAGACCAAGTACTTTACATTTGTCCACATTGAATTTCATCTGCCAGTTTTCAGACCATTCGAAAATTTTGTTTAGATCTTCCTGTAGTTTTGCGGAGTCCTCGCCCTATTTTAGTGACATCAGCAAATTTACTTATGTTGCTGCCTACGCCGCTTTCTATGGCGTTTATGTATATAATAAATAATAATGGTCCAAGTACTGAGCCTTGGGGTACTCCACTTGTGACGTTACTCCAATAGGATTTAGTGCCGTTAATGCTCATTCGCTGTTTTCTGTCCTGTAACCACGCACTAATCCATATTAGAATATCTCCAATGCCATGAGCCTCCACTTTTCTTGTTAGTCTTTCATGGAAGACTCTCTCGAAGGCTTTGCTAAAGTCAAGATATACCACATCATAGTCGTGCCCCTCGTCCATTGATTCGAAAACAGCTGAAAAGAATGTGAATAGATTAGTTAAACATGAACGCCCGCTTGTGAAGCCATGTTGGGAATCATTGATCAACTTGGGTTTTACTCGGCAAAGGAATCCTCTTTTTAGTTTTCAGATATCCATAACATTTGGGAGTCATGCTTCTCAAAGTTAAGGCCTCAGACAGTGGTGTGTGTACACACAAATGGCCCGGGTAAGAGTGGGGTCAACTTGTCTAGTGCAAGCAGACGCAGGCAGAGTGGATCTTCTGACATCATCACTCCCGCCCGCCTCGGACCTCACCTGCGCGCCGGCCGACCACTGTATATAGCTAGCAGCTGTATGTCTGTTCTGGCCCACAGTGTGTCACTACTGTATCTAGCTAGCAGCTGTATGTCTGCTCTGGCCCACAGTGTGTCACTACTGTATCTAGCTAGCAGCTGTATGTCTGTTCTGGCCCACAGTGTGTCACTGTATCTAGCTAGCAGCTGTATGTCTGTTCTGGCCCACAGTGTGTCACTACTGTATCAGCTGTATGTCTGTTCTGGCCACTACTGTATCTAGCTAGCAGCTGTATGTCTCTGGCCCACAGTGTGTCACTACTGTATCTAGCTAGCAGCTGTATGTCTGTTCTGGCCCACAGTGTGTCACTACTGTATCTAGCTATGTCAGCATCTAGCTAGCTGCTGTGGCCCACAGTGTGTCACTACTGTATCTAGCTAGCAGCTGTATGTCTGTTCTGGCCCACAGTGTGTCACTACTGTATCTAGCTAGCAGCTGTATGTCTGTTCTGGCCCACAGTGTGTCACTACTGTATCTAGCTAGCAGCTGTATGTCTGTTCTGGCCCACAGTGTGTCACTACTGTATCTAGCTAGCAGCTGTATGTCTGTTCTGGCCCACAGTGTGTCACTACTGTATCTAGCTAGCAGCTGTATGCCTGCTCTGGCCCACAGTGTGTCGCCACTGTGGTCACTTTATAGTTGACATAATTCAATATTGGTTTATTTTCTAATCATCACAGAATAATCTAATGAGCTAATGATAAGTTCAGACAAAAAGAAAACGATTTTCACCCATGACCCATTTTACCCATAACCGAGGTGCCTGGAGTTGACAATCAGAAAACTTGCCACTCGGGTACAGGAAGTGACAGCTACGGTCAGAAGCTGGTGGGCCACGTAGGTCAACACTGACAATGAGATCACGTTACCGACAGGTCAATTATTTGATGCATCGGTCACTTTTTTTGAGCAATGCAAGTGAATCGGTGGCATTGGCCTGGATCCGGCCCTGACAAATTTTGCTCTCTACATAAGGTCAATTTCACTTCTAAACCCAACAACTTTATGCCCTTGAAAATCTGTTCAAAGTCTTGATGTGTGTGTGTGTGTGTGTGTGGTGAGTAATAAGCACATAGATAAATACTGTAGATAGATAGACATTTTATTGACCACCAAAATACATGCTTTATGAATGTAAACAATATACATTATGGCCCAATATTAAAATATTGAACAGTAAAACAATAAATTAAAATACAGTTAACAAACTACATACCAATACAAATAACACCGAAACATTATGATCCATAAAATCTCTGGACCAATAAAACAATAAGTTAATAAATAAAAGGACACTAAAATACGCAACTTGGAAATCGTAGTACATACACATGATACGAGGAAAACTATTACTTAAGTTCATTCATACTTAAACATACAAGGCAAGTATGGAATGGATGGCACTGCATACAACTTCATGGTCAGACCTTTCAATGAACAAGTTTTCTGGTGTTGTGATGTTGAAATGTAGGCGCAAGTGCAATGATATGGGACACTCTTCAAAGACATGTTTTTTAGTCTGAATCTCACATGTGTACACAAACACACACACACACACACACACACACACACATAAAAATCGAACATGCACACACAGATTTGTTTAGATTGCCCCGGAGGGGGCTAGTTTATTGGGCACCCCCTTACATCCTGTGCAAGGTGAAGCGCAGAAGCGTTTACAGCGCCCATCTGGCAAGCATGCTAAGTTCATGCTTGCCTTTATGACTCATGCATTAAGGGCGTAAAAGCCTGAAGGGTCATAGGTTTTGTCAGCAGGTTACATAAAGTGACAGAATGATGAGTGTGTGGAGGGAAAGTTCTCGGTACATATAATCTGTTTATGGCAAAGCGTGGCAGGTCCCTAATAATGTCAAGTGCCAGGCCTGTCACTAGGAGGAGGGATACTTGGTCAGGGAGGAACGAGGTGTTGGTGACGGCTGGGGACCTGTAGGAGGAGATCATAGGCAAGTGAGGATGTAGTGAGAGAGGGTGTGAGAGTCGGGTTGGCCACAAAGTTTACAAACAGTGCGGCCAGGCTCAGGGTTGCACACGCACACCTTGTCCACGCGGCTACCATGCCCTCACCCCGTGCTCGATAACCCCCCCACCCCCCGCCCCTCTGCGGAACCTACTATCGCCTGCCTGGGGGGGGGGGGGTTAAGGGAAAGTCCAGGATCAAGATTATCGAACGTTCCTACGAATATTCCTTGTACCTATAAGTACAAAACATAAACATAAGATAAGTGTACAAAAATGACATTAATATTATGCTAATTTAACACCAATACTGATTAGACGGATTAATTAAAGTTAATTATAAACATAAGAACAGTTTCCCCAAAATTGGAACAATATTACACTGAAAATTGGGAGCTAAAAAAAAAATAAAAAAATAGCGAACATAATCATTTCAAGTTTCTCTATGGTTATGGAGCAAGTTCAGATACGCGACGGGCCGCCCAAGTGGCTCGATCAGTGGTGAAGAGGATCAAAGTAAAAGTTGTCCTCCGGTTATGTGAGGGTCTTGTTCTCCGGTTATGTGAGGGTCTTGTTCTACGGTTATGTGAGGGTCTTGTTCTCCGGTTATGTGAGGGTCTTGTTCTACGGTTATGTGAAGGTCTTGTTCTACGGTTATGTGAAGGTCTTGTTCTACGGTTATGTGAAGGTCTTGTTCTACGGTTATGTGAAGGTCTTGTTCTACGGTTATGTGAAGGTCTTGTTCTACGGTTATGTGAAGGTCTTGTTCTACGGTTATGTGAAGGTCTTGTTCTACGGTTATGTGAAGGTCTTGTTCTACGGTTATGTGAAGGTCTTGTTCTACGGTTATGTGAAGGTCTTGTTCTACGGTTATGTGAAGGTCTTGTTCTCCGGTTATGTGAAGGTCTTGTTCTACGGTTATGTGAAGGTCTTGTTCTACGGTTATGTGAAGGTCTTGTTCTACGGTTATGTGAAGGTCTTGTTCTACGGTTATGTGAAGGTCTTGTTCTACGGTTATGTGAGGTCTTGTTCTACGGTTATGTGAAGGTCTTGTTCTACGGCACGGTTATGTGTCTTGTTCTCCGGTTAAAGGTCTTGTTCTACGGTTATGTGAAGGTCTTGTTCTACGGTTATGTGAAGGTCTTGTTCTCCGGTATGTGAAGGTCTTGTTCTACGGTTATGTGAAGGTCTTGTTCGCCGGTTATGTGAAGGTCTTGTTCTCCGGTTATGTGAAGGTCTTGTTCTACGGTTATATGAAGGTCTTGTTCTACGGTTATGTGAAGGTCTTGTTCTACGGTTATGTGAAGGTCTTGTTCTACGGTTATGTGAAGGTCTTGTTCTACGGTCATGTGAAGGTCTTGTTCTACGGTTATGTGAAGGTCTTGTTCTACGGTTATGTGAAGGTCTTGTTCTACGGTTATGTGAAGGTCTTGTTCTACGGTTATGTGAAGGTCTTGTTCTACGGTCATGTGAAGGTCTTGTTCTACGGTCATGTGAAGGTCTTGTTCTACGGTCATGTGAAGGTCTTGTTAAAAGTGTCTGGGTATAATTTCTGATGTTTATTGTGTATATGTACCTCTATCTTTAGTTAAGAGGAATATTCAGTTTACGACCCTAGGGAATCTACACTGAACTTTATCAGATAACACACTGCGTTAGATATCAACAGTACGACATAGATAGCGATTATGTATATATATCTTGTCAGGGTCGAAGTTATCAAATGTTTTTAAGTAATTGATTAAAAATATTTAATTTAAAGTAAGTTTTATATCATGGTAGAGTCTCAGTTCAGTTTTGACAGCAATATGACTCGGAATCGAGTATGACGATCATCCAGCTATGATGCAATGATATGAGTTATTAGAGATGCCACCTTCATTGGTGAGTTTTGAGGTGACTAAAGAGGCCGATACGAGACTGGCAGAGTCGTTCACATGAGTTGCACATGTGGAGGGCTACATCCAGTGCGGAAGGAGCGGTGGCAGCGTCTTTCCGGTGTTGGCGCTTGTCTGCCTCGGTTTGCAGTCGGGCTAACTCAAAAGTATTGACACCTCGTGTGGTGCTCCTCCAAGCGTTACGATGTGGAGTAATCGACTCCCAGGTGAGGGGGTCGATTTGGCACTTTTTCAAGTTTGTCTTAAGACTATCCTTATACCTTTTCAGTTGACCGTCGGCGTTACGTTTACTATTCGTTAGGTGACTATAAAGTAGCTGCTTTGGCAGTTTACTGTCGTCCATGCGGGTAACATGGCCAGTCCAGCGTAATTCTTCCTGGATAATGGTAGCCTCGATGCTCCTACAGTTGGTGTCAGCAAGAATACTGGCATTTGTTCTCTTGTCTTCCCAGCGAACACGGAGGAAGGAACACAGACTACGTTGGTGAAAGTTTTCAAGTGCCTTGAGGTGCTTCCTGTATGTAACCCATGGCTTACTGCCATATAGCAGGGTGGGGAGAACTACTGCTTTATATACCTGTAACTTTGTAGATAATTTCAGCTCCCTACAGCTGAAGACACAGTTTCAGAGTCTGCCAAAGGCTTGAGATGCACATCTGTTCCGATGCTGAATCTCTTCATCGATGTCGGCGGTGGTAGACAGGTGGGAGCAGAGATACCGAAAGTGGGTAACGTTAGAGAGGGTAGTACCGTTACGGTGGATGGATGGTGGAGGTGTGTCTGAACCAGGGGCAGGTTGAAAAAGAAGCTGAGTCTTACGTACATTCACCTCAAGGCCGAAGTGTGCATACACATCTGCGTAGGTGTTCAGGATCTCCTGTAGGTCGTGTTCAGCGTGAGCAACAAGGGTGAGGTCGTCTGCATACTGGAGTTCAGTAATGGAAGCTGCCGACACCTTTGTTCTTGTCTGGCGTCGTCTTATGTTGAAAAGACCCTTCATCCGGTACTCGATGTCCACCCCGTCTGCTAACTTGGCATTGGCACAAGTAAGGAAGGCAGCCAAGAAAATTAAAAAAGAGAGTTGGTGCTAGTACACACCCTTGTTTAACCCCCGTTTGGGTGGGTAAGAACTCAGACTGGGTGCCATTGTGCAGGACACTGCCGTTCATGCCATCATGGAGTTGTCTCACAATGACGATGAATTTTGGTGGGCAGCCAAAACGGCTGAGGGTCCACCAGAGGGTTTCCCTGTTGACCGAGTAGAAGGCCTTGGTTAGGTCGATGAAAGCCATGTACGGGTCACGACGCTGTTCTCTGCACTTTTCCTGAATCTGTCGGGCAGCAAAGATCATGTCAGTGGTGCCACGTGATGGTCTAAAACCACATTGAGACTCTGCCAGACTAGACGTATTTCACCACCCTGTGTGCGACCGTACATCTCTAGAAAGGTGAACAGATTAATGTACTGGATAGTATTTTTGGAGAATGAGTACTGACGTCTACAACAGGATTCTTTATTATTTGTATGTACGTTATTATTGTGTCCTAACTGGATATGAAGGAACGTAACGAGCTGGTTGGTTAAGTTAAAACATAAGGATGGATTTGTCAAAAAGGATTATCTGAAGATTTGCTCCCACTAACTTTTTCCACCTGAAGATAGACCACCCTAACCAGTTGAGCCAAGTCCTCTAGACCTCGCCACAACAAGCCTATAGAGACATAACAAGTACAGTATTTCCAACCTTTGTCGTTGTGGGTCCCCTCGGCCGTCTTGACTTGTCCTGTCGTGAGACTTCGAACCAAAGTTTAGTATTTTGTGTCTTAACAAACGCCATGGTTATTTTATTTTACTCTATGTACTCAAAGATATATACAAATACACATAGAGATGTAAAGGTAGTTCCACAGCTATTATTGACAGGTACTCTAACCCCAACTGCTTTACATCGTCTTCAGGGAAAGAACCATAGAGAACCTCCACACAGATGAGTTGCGCTGCGGCAAACAGTAAAAATCATCTCATAGCTATAATTACTAGTTAACTACTCATAGAACATCAGAATTTGGCCAACTTATGAGGATTGATCCTTTGCTCCCGAGTGGTGGATGAAGCTGAGAAATTCGCTGCGTCATAAAATTATCACTATCTTCCGGGACGTTTTTTAACACAACTTTAGCTACAGGATATTCCAGGTCTCCCTGATGAACCCTATACTGTAGATGGCTGTGCTGACATAAAGTACTGGTTATCGAACCCTGTAGAGATATGTATGTCCTGTATAATGTATCCACAAACTACCAGTGGTTATTAGTACAATGTTATTTGTTGGAGTTATGTTCACAGCTCTGAGGGAATTAATTGGAACAGTTAAGGTTTCTACAAAAAGTAGCATATATGTCTGCTGGAAACACTTTAAAAAAGGCGGCGTGTCTCAGAGTTGTGGACGAAATTAAGATATCCACGCAGTAATGGTGTAGAGTCTACACACTTCCGCCACGAACTTTAGTCTACACTGTAGACTAAAGTTCGTGGCGGAAGTGTGGTGCATCACTAACAGGATAAGGGCTTCCGCTGGTCGTACCAACACACTGCCGCTCAAACACTTTTTTCAAGTCATTTTTCCTCTCTGTACACTGGTTATGCCACTGCTATCTTCAGCTGATTTTCTTTTATTAACTGTGTACTTGATTCTTCTTAGATATGCTGCTAGTGTTGGTAATTCCAATAGATAAGCGACAAATAATTCATGCATTGAGGGTAAATGCCAAGATGTGAGTACTACCTGGTGGGTCAAGGCTGCACGCCTGTCGAATACTGTATACACGGTTTTACAGTCCAATTATATTTGTGTTCACAAAATCCCTGGACGAAATTACACATAGGTGAGTCCTCCGTCATTATCAATAAAAAACTTTATTCTTTTCCATAATCGCTGTGACTCACTTGCAAGTGATATTGTAAAGAACATGGCGGTCTGAGTAACTTCTTAAAGGATTACATTTACCATGCTCGTGAAGTTGCTCGAATTTTTATTTTTAAGTTATTACACTGTAGACTAAAGTTCGTGGCGGAAGTGTGGTGCATCACTAACAGGATAAGGGCTTCCGCTGGTCGTACCAACACACTGCCGCTCAAACACTTTTTTCAAGTCATTTTTCCTCTCTGTACACTGGTTATGCCACTGCTATCTTCAGCTGATTTTCTTTTATTAACTGTGTACTTGATTCTTCTTAGATATGCTGCTAGTGTTGGTAATTCCAATAGATAAGAGACAAATAATTCATGCATTGAGGGTAAATGCCAAGATGTGAGTACTACCTGGTGGGTCAAGGCTGCACGCCTGTCGAATACTCTATACACGGTTTTACTGTCCAATTATATTTGTGTTCACAAAATCCCTGGACGAAATTACACATAGGTGTGTCCTCCGTCATTATCAATAAAAAACTTTATTCTTTTCCATAATCGCTGTGACTCACTTGCAAGTGATATTGTAAAGAACATGGCGGTCTGAGTAACTTCTTAAAGGATTACATTTACCATGCTCGTGAAGTTGCTCGAATTTTTATTTTTAAGTTTTATTAACGAGTTGGCTTAGGTTAGGTTAGGTTAGGTGGCATTTGTTTATAGACCCTTATAATACTGCTACGGAACTGTAATAAACCAATAAAAGAGTATTACCTTTGAACTAGTTATTGTAATGGCATTTTTAGCCGTTTAAATGTACGTATAGTACTTGTATAAGCAGACAAACCAATCAACACACTCAACTTACTCAAGCATATAATCAGCCCAATCCTTCAAGGTGCTTAATGGTAAGTGTTAAACAGACTTGTCCAAATACTGAGAACGAAAATAGTTTCTACAGTAACGGGGTACTGGTACCGTGTATTAATCTACATAATGAGATACATGGTGGATATAACTGCCAATTATCACTGCATCAACCTCCATATGTTATCATCGGACCCATATATCTCCCTCTAGAGATGTGTGACCTAATGACTTCTCTTTTTGGTGGTGAAAATTCGCATCGTCAGACGCCAATAAAATCGCATATGATTTTGTACAATTTAACGACCATGGACATACTGCGAGGTGGTATCCTATTACAGTACTGCTCTCACATATCGTCACAACCCATAATTACATGTTTAATGTTTTAAAAGTTTAATATTATCAGCTATCTAAAAAGAATTAATGAGAATTTTGTTTCAAAACTATTGGCACAAGAGGTGAGTACACTGCAGGTACCCGCTTAGGGCAGGTAGGTGGATATCTGGTAAGATTTTGTCGTGAAATATCCCATTAAACGTAATAACGTATAGGTACAAGAGTTCTATAACTGTACCGTCAAACAACAATAAAAAAACAAAGAATTATTAGCAGCTAATCCCAACCAGATAAGGGGGCCAGAGCGTATACAAAGTGGAGTTTTCGCACAAGACGTCAGTGAACGTTATCTGCTGATGCTTCAGGGTACGACCAATGGTGATATACAGTACAGTGTTGTGTTACGTTCCTTCACATGCCACCGCCAGAGTGGTGACGTGTGACGTGGTGTTAACTGCAGCTCCTCGTTACTGAAACATTGGTGTGATGAGTCATATGCCAA